CTGTCAAGTTCTGCTTTTAACAATGGCTTCAGTGCGATAGGCACTTTCCTTGGTGGATGAACTACAGGCTGTATGTTTTCATCTAGAACTAGGTGATATTTTCCTGCGAGACGACCTACTCCTTCAAAGACATCTGGATACTCTACGAAGAGCTGCTTCTTGCTGAGAGGTGATGGTAACAGCTGTCTCACACTTAGAATGTTCTCCTTTCTCCAGTTCAAGAGCTCCATGTGCTGTAGAGTTTTATTTCCTATGAGTGGCATGCAGTCCTCCTTGATCACAACAAATTCAGTGTCATATGAGGTACCATTCCTTGGATTGGTAACTTGCAAGTGTACTTTTCCAAGAGGCCTTATGGTAGATTTGTTGTACATCTTCAAGGTGTAATTTGCAGGCTGAAGTGGTGGCATGTTTGGAATCACACTATGTGGTAAAATGTTACATGTGGCCCCACTGTCCAGTTGAAATGTCACTTTCTTTCCATGAATTATCATAGATGCATGTACACTGTTGGAAACTGAGTGTGCAGAATGTGTGTTTTCTTCTTGAATGGTCCAAACTGAATAGTCATCATCACTGTCTGTGTCTGAACAACCTGTCCCAATGTGATGTACAGTTTTCTTCTTATACTTTGTTTGCGATTTCTTAGTAGCACTTCTGCATACTGTTTCGAAGTGGTTCATTTTATGGCACAGTCGACACGTCTTTCCAAATGCCGGACATTTTTCTATCTTGGGCTCATGTACTTTGGCACAATATTTACAAGGTTTCTTATTATCTGTGTGTGAATGTTTACTTCCACTTGTCTTTGCACTTGGTTTACCTTTGCCGATTTTGTTGACATTTTCTGTATGGCTGCTTAACGAATTGTTGTTGCCGTCCAATACACTAATTCCTTGTTTTGTGATTTCTGCTGCACGCGTTATGTCGACACACTTATCCAGGGTAAGTTCTGGTGTTCTTAACAAACGTTCTCTCAGGTGTGAGTCAAGTATTCCACAAACTATTCTGTCTCTCACTAGTGAATCAACTATTTCTCCATAGTTACACTTTGCAGCTAATGTTTTTAGATCAGTAATAAAAGTTTCTATCGTCTCACCTTGTTCCTGTTTCCTCATATTGAACCTGAATCTCTCTACTGTTTCGTTTCTTTTGGGTCTACAGTAAGCGTCAAAAGCTTCGAGGACGTCTTTTAATTTTCTGTCCTTTTCTTCTTTTTCAAACTTCAGTGTGCTGTAAATCTCTCTGCCATCAGCGCCGATCAAATATTTCAGTAATTGTAACTTAGCTTTGTCTTCTGCATCCTTCATCGATAGAGATGCATAGAGTTCAAATTCTTCTCTCCATTTTCTCCAGTCTTCACTAATATTCTTAGTGTAAAACTTTATTTTGCCAGGGGGTGTCAATCGTTCGAGCGCCATTTCCCGACCGGGCTGTCGTAATCACGATGCAGCGCGCCAAATCGAAGAAATCGAAATATGCACAATATACTCAAGATATGGCGAGAAAAACAGTTCTGCTCAATCCTGTAATCCTCTTCTATAATCCCGCGTCTGACACCATGTTTCACTTAGTGGGTTACTAATGCAATGTGCATATAAAATCCCCAGGCACGCTGGCAAGAACTACAGCCGTCAACGATGACCATAACTACGATTTATTACTAGACAAAACGAATACATACATAAATGTATAAATGCTATTCGTATTAGCAAAACGAATAAACATAACATCATTACATGTTACACACATCAGAGGTGGGATCACGGGTCATGAAGGAGTGAGCATCCCCTGCCGACCGGTCACACCCGCCGTGTGCTCCTTGTCATGATCGGGAAATAATTCAGTGTATAAATAATTGACTAACAATTAGTTTGGAAAACATCAGTAAGGATTAAACTCAATGATAAATCGTATTTGCTGACCAGGTCATAGTATCAACCACAGAAATTACATAATGAAGACTTTATACGAGACTGCTAATATTCTTGTTTCATCAATTTGTTTGTCAGTAATTTATCTCGCTTGATATATTGTTCATTCGTAGAACATGCTTTCCCAAAGGATAATGCAAAAAGACCGTTTTACGTGTCCAATAGAAAACAATGCTTGATTTGTCATCTGTGTATCTCAATGAATGAAAATTAAATAGAGCACACCACTTAACTAGATACATTTTTATACAATATACTAATAAAAATATCTACAAAATTCACTACAATTTTCTTCTGTATGAATGTCATTTCCTTAACCTACCGGAAAATATTTGCTAAAACTCTTCAAATAATTTTCTTAGGAGAAACTGTCTACACAAGATGCAAAATGTTATATTATAAAGTACAGAGCACAAGTATACATATTACGAAAATATTATTACGTTTCACTATTTAAATGTGTCACTTTTCTTTCTTCCAGTTTAAGTTTAACGTCATTAGCCGGTTTCAGTCAGCCATTTTTTCTCAGCTGGAGGGGAATCTGTAAAAAAAAATATCGACAAAGAGTTCATTTATTTGTTAACACTGTAGGGATTTAAATATTAGTGAAATAAAACACTACCTACCATGGCATGTATACGTGGCAGAAACAAATCGTATATCTAGATATGCCACGGTTAGCCTTGTGAATACGTATTCGCCATAATTTTATCCCATTGAAAATTGTATTTAAGAGTAAAATTTACCTCCGTTTCGCTACAGTTAGTAAACCGGTAGTGTTGAAGTATGTATGTAATGCTACATTTAACGTCCATGCCCGCTAAACGTTGTCCTATACAGTTCCTAGGACCATGTCCAAAAGGCAGAAACGTGTAAAGATAACGACTCTCTTTATTTTCTGGGGTAAACCTTTAAAATGATAGATGCCAATATGATTGAAATTGGAGTGTCGTGGAAATCAATAGATACAAAAAGACCGCTGTCGCAGAAATAAAAAAAAAATTTGAAACCTCAATCTAAATAGATACACTACCGCTGATTTTAATAAGATTGTTGAAACCTTTTATAATACTGGCAAGCTACATCACTTGATAAACATTTGTAGGTCCGTTTAATATATATATATATATATATATATATATATATATATATATATATATATATATATATATATATATATATATATATATATATATATATATATATATATATATATAAAATAAAATAAAAAGGCAACACTTGTTCAAACCTAAGCGCTTTCATTGTTTTCTTCAGACGTTTGAAAACGTCTGAAGAAAACAATGAAAGCGCTTACGTTTTAACAAGTGTTGCCTTTTTATTTTATTTTAATATTGATTACCGGACACTGAGATATTTATTTTATTTCTTTTGGATATATATATATATATATATATATATATATATATATATATATATATATATATATATATATATATATATATATATATATATATAGACTTAAGACTCTTAACCAAAACTGTACTCCTTCAAAATGGACAAGTATTGACATACCCTCTCCGAGCGGTTATCACAGGATGATTTTTCCCCTATTCATCCGAATTTATGATCAAGTATTTTAAATTTATTAACAGTACAATAATTTTTCTCTAATCTGTCTGCATTTTTTTAAATAATAAATTATTACTATAACCGAGGTTAGTCAATACAAACAACTGGGTAACACCAGGTTACCTTTCGTTATTTTTTCATTTCATTTCCAATTTTTTAAAAATATAATGTGTACACTTATAGTATTTTTATTTTTCTATTCTTTTTTGTCAGCTTAATCCCTATTCCATATTTTTCTGAAGATTAACTGATTTCCTTTCTAATTAAACATATTCTTATTCAAACTAGAAGTACTGTGAGCACTGAGTTCACTAAATGATATCCCCCGCCTCCCATATGATATTATAATGGCAAAGTCAATGTTTTGCTTTGGGAAACCCGAAATAAGTGTCAGATCAAAAAGTAAAATAGGAGGTCACAATCGCATCATGAAATAAAGAATCTGTGAAAGTATCATTAAATTTTATTCAGTGGTATAGGAGGAGTTGCGGATAAGGGATGGGTGCCCTTCAATATTATAGAAAGAATGGCAATGTCTACGTTTTGCTACTGGAATCTCAAAATATGTGTCCTATCAAGATAAAAGGTCACAATGGAACTATTTAACAAAGATTCTTTGAACGTCTCATTTAATTTCATGGAGTTGCGGATAAGTAATGAGTTGTATAATAGGAGTTGCGGATAGGTAATGGGTACCCCAAAATGTAACAGACGGACGTACAGAAGGACGCACGAACATCCAAATCACTATACAGGAGGTATAATAATATAGTATAGTACTTTGAAACGTACATGGAATATCTTGCAGCAATTCCATTTATTCTGTTAAAAAACATTTTTACCAGATTATCATTTGATCATACCTTTAAGACAATCAATCTACTGAGAGACAAAATTGTATACCGTTCAGGATCGAATTTCTCCGGTTCTGGCCAATATTTAGGATTTCTGTGTATCGCAAAAATGGGGAAAATCAGTTCAGTGTTGGGTGGAATCTTCACTCCGTCCACCTCAGAATTGATTCTGTTTGACTTGTATGGTGAAGTAGAAGGTGTTTTGATTTAAGCAAATACTTTGAAACTCACTTGTCCTAGAACTGTGTCAATTTCCTGTATTAATTTATCCTGACACTCTGGGTTTGTCGCCAGGTTATATGCAATACAAGTCATAGCGCTTGCTGTAGTTTCATAACAGGCCATTAGAAACAAAATAGAATTTCCATTGTTAAACCTGCAAATTGAATATTCTTATACATAACATACATGACATACTATGTCTCCGAATTTTAAATTATTCTAAGGATTACATACGTATACATTGTGCATATATTAACTAAAAGGAAGTAAATTCATGTTATTACAAGTTTAATTAATAATGTTAAATAAGGATAGAACATGAAATATATTTTGTTTAACTTTACTTTCCATCTAAGTTTCTTGAGTTGAAAACGTAATTTCAAATGACTTTCAGGCATATTTCCTTCTTCATTTTACAAAAATATCGAAGAACACAAAGCACTGGAAGTAAATACCTAATCATAGGTTTTTTGCCTTAAAAATCGGCACAGCGTATTAATTGACAGACCATACCTCTCTTTTTCCATTTCTCGGGATGTTCATAGGCGTGTCTTTCCTCTATCTCATTTTTATCGATGAGTCTATGAGCATTCAACATAAGTTGTAGCATATCTTTTCTGTCCTGCGTGACGCAGTGATGATTATTCATTGGTAACGAAAGATAAAGAAATGATAGGTACCCGTATATATACTCGCATATAAGTCGGTCCGCATATAATTCGATTGTATTTTTTAAGCTTATATTAGAGGGATCTGTCTGTCTAGCTTTCTGTTTGTCAGTCGTCTGTTTTTACGCTTTAATAAATGAT